TTTTTAAAGTCTTCCGATCGACTTAGCTCTGCATTTTTATAGTCATGCTGCTGACTTGTAATAGCTTTAGATTTCAGATTATCTTCATTAGTCTTTAGCTTTTGTATCTCATTGTCCATACTGTCCACTTTGATACAAAGTGTAGTAATGGCTTTGAGTATATGTTCAATTGTATTTTCTTTCTCAGTTTGAGTAGCTTTGTCTTGATAAGTAAACTGCAATAACATTCTTGTCAGTTTTTATTACTTCAATAGTAAATGTAAAATTTAATATATTTAATACCAATCTTCTTATTTCTTTTGTAGTTACCGAATCTTGTATTTTTCTTGTTAGCCACCATTTTACTTGTGTGTTAACTGTTCTTATAATAAATTTGTTATATACAATATATGGTTCAAATGATAATAAACATTTATATACTTAATATAATTCTTTCCTATTTATTTTCCATTTTATTTCCGTATTAGTAAATGTTCATGAATAATATCTGCAATGATGTTCTATTTTTTCTTCATCATACCTGTATTTTAAGACTCCTCCATAACTTTTTTCACTAGCGTCTGATTCTACTATATAAGTAATTTTTTTGTTTTCATCCGGAAAATATAGTTTAGGTAGGTTCTTACATAATGATTTTATTTTTTGTATTTGTGTTTGGTCTTTTTTATCAAACTGATATTCTACATCTTTCTTTAACTTTTGTTGTAATAGTTTTAAATTCCTGCTAATTTTGGTATGTATTCTCTTACTTGATTTACTAGTCTTAGAAATGATTGTAATTTCTTTTTTGTATCTAACTGTTCATTTGAGTTAATTATTTTTTGTACTATATGTGTTTGCATTTTTATTTCATTTTTATCTATCTGTATTCCTAAAAATTCTATTTGCTTTTTCATTATGTCTGCTTTCTTTTTGCTTAGACTTATGCCTGAATATTCTATAATATGTGATACGCTCAAATTACACCTCTTTTCAGAAGCATAAGCGATCGTTATCAAGTAAAGAACCCAACTTGTAGGTTGGGATCGATCCCACGAGGAAAATGGTTTAGACTTTACTTTTAACCGACAATTATATTCGATTAGTCAAATTATTTCCAGAAACAAGTAATAAAAAGGGGGTTGTGCTTGTGTAAAACAAATAGTAATACGAAATATTGTAATCAGTAATTAAACTCAACTTTGGTTGTTATCAAGATAAGAGAAATAACTAGGGTATACGTGTTCCCCATAATCTCATAACGCAGTAATTCTAGTAATAGCAATCCTCTTCTAGTGTATTACATGCAAAGTGATAAGTTAGGTATCTCTAAATCCTTGGTCCGGCATCTAGAGAATTTCACCCCGCACCTTGGTCGGCTACGTGTGTATAATTTACTAACCCTTACCTTTACCTCATATTAGACATCATAATCGATGTTTGGCTTAGTTATTACTTCGCACCAATCGACACTAGCCTATTAGATAGTATCACACTAAATCTATGTTGATAATTCTTTTCTTGTTATTTACCTCCTTGGTCCGGCAAGTAGTAACAAGGCGAGTTCTAACGTTGGCCACCGTTAAAAAGACTTCTAAACGAAAGAATTATCAATGCATGCAAAATACTAGTCAAGAATTGCTTATTTACTATTCATACTTTGTTAATTGATCATGGTTCCCACAACCCTAGTTGTGGATTTAGTTACTCATATTAGCAAGAACACAATTCATAATTGTAGATGGAGAAATCATGAACTTACGTAAAGAGAATAGTAAACCCAGAAAATTAACTTGAATTGCAAAGCCAAAATCTTCAAAACGAACTTGGGAAATCAATAATTGCTAGGGTTGCAAATTAATCTCCAAAGTTACACAGCAAAAATAGAATAATAGTGTCTAACCCCCAAAAACGAGGTTTACATGTCCTATTTATAGAAAACAAATCCTAAATAAAAAAGGAAACAAATTAAGGAAAGTTTTGTTCAGGTACGCGTCTTCGATCCACGAGACTGACTTACGGACCGTCGATTGATCTACGGTCCGTAAGTCCCTTCCGTCACTCGGGACTTAGAAAATATTTCGGCATCCAAAAATCAGCTTCTCTGAAGCAAACGACGGACCAGCAGCACGGACCGTAGATAGATCTACGGTCCGTCAATCCCTTCCGTAGCTCCATACTTAGAATCTTCAAAAAATCAGGTACTGGAACCCTCACAGTCTCATCCTACGGATCAACAGTACGGTCCGTCGATACATTTATGGACCGTAAATGGACACCGTGGTTCCACACTTGGTCAGATTTTCCTGATTTGTCCTCAACACATTCTTGCTGGTCTACGGTCATCACCTACGGACCGTGAATGGAACTACGGTCCGTAGATGACCTCCGTGGATGCCTTTTTCTGCATTTCCTTCAGCTGTCTCTAAACTTCCGCGCCTGAACACCTTTCCTGCAAAACATGATAGAATACATAAAAACCAATATAAAAAGGCCCTAGACACACACAACTTGTAAGTGAAATGTATTAGAAATACCGTAAACTCACGGTATATCAAATATCAGCACAACTTATATTTGTGCGAATCCTGTTTTCCATAGCCGCATGAAGCATGTGGCCATCGACTTCCATTTTGTCTGTGAGCAGGTTGAGCGCAAACAACATGAAGTTGCCCATTTACATGCTGCTGATCAAGTTGCAGATTTTCTTACAAAGCCTCTTCCACGTGCACTTTTTTTTATAACCATTTCTCCAAGTTGGGCGTAGTAAACCTCAACGCCAACTTGCGGGGGCGTAATAACGGCTAGCATCTAAGACTCTTGTTACCTGTAGAACTCTTCTTACTTATAGGACTCTTTTTATTTTGCTTATCAGTCTTTTTATCTTTAGAAGTGTAATTACGTAGGTTTCTCTAAGTTGTTATTTTATTCTCAGCCTTGTATCTAATACACTGGCTATATAAAAGGCCAATACAGTAATCAATACACATAAGTTCATATGTGTTCAGTTCTTCTCTTTCTCTTTAAAAAGCACTTTAAATAAGTCAATCTAAACAAGCTCTTATTTCTTTGTGTCTTACATTTAACCATCTTTCAGTCACTAAGGCGCAAGAACGTTATTCAATTTTACACCTTTTTGGATGGTTCTTGTTTATTATATTGTATTACTATTAGTTTAAATATTATGTTAAATATTATGTTTATTTTTTATTGTAACTTGAATTTAATCATATCATATGTATTACTACCTTAATATTTTATTCTTATTTTTATTGAAGGTTAACCATTCAAAATGTTAATGTGTGATATTATATAACGATAAAGAATAATATAATATGTTCAAACATTATATTTATTTAAACAGTATAATACAATACGATTCATTATAACAGCCCATCCACACATATTTCGAAAATTAAATATACATTTTTTACATACCAAAAGCTAAAAAGTAAAACATATAACTTACCTGAAATATATGAGAGTCATAGTAAAAAGAAATTTTAATCTCTCAAGTTATAACAATCTAATATAAATTGAAGTAAAATGAATATACAAGTGAAAATATTAAATAATATAAATATATTCTATAAATATTTTACATTACATTTCAAATTATTTTTAAAAATAATATAGATTATTATGTAATAATTGAATTTACCATCCATATAACAAGATTTTTAATACAATACATTTTCTAAGAGAATAATTTTGGAAATAATCAAAAGAGTTATAGTAGAAAGTAGCATTTCGATTTATGTCCTTAAATATTTTTCTTATGGAGGTTTCATACTCCAGCAATTTACTTAATATGAACTAGAGGGATGAGAAGTATTATTTAAAAAAATAATTTAAAATCAATTCATTTAAAAAGAAAACCGTACATATTATGCAAAAAAATATTTCTACTTATTTTCTTAAAAATATGTTTCAAAATTTTTGAAAATATTAAACAAAAACACTACATTATTTCTATTGATTTTCTTAAAGTTTTAAAGTAAAATCTAAAGGAATGTAAAAAAAAAAAAAAAGGCAAACTATGTGCCTTAGTTGAACAGCTTTTGACAAAAAAAAAAAAATAGAAAGCAAGGCGCAAGCTCCATGCGCCTTACAGGTACATTGTCACCTTGCGTCGTGTAAAGTACATGGGACACTGCGTCTTCCCGCTTAAAATATCACGAAGTTACCATTCTGTCTAAATGTTGCCCTTTTGGTTTCAACCTTACTTTTTGTTGCCCTTTCAAAAATTTCACTCAATTGTTTTTGCCATTTTGACTCCGGACTCTAATAGATAAGTATATGTGTGTGCACGCTTGTTTAGATATAGAGGAGGGAAAGTGAAGAGTCAATATGGGTAAAAGAGAGAGGTGGAAATTTAAGGATGACTAAAATATGGGGAGAGTTGGCAAAATATCCACTCTAAAGACTTAATGTGACATTAAGTCACAAGTCTTGAAAAATTAGTGGTATAGCCACTAATTATGACATCATCCATGTGCCCTACTTGGGACATACAAAAGATCCTCCTAAGTTTTCATATCTCCACTTTGGTCCCCCTCCTCTTCTTTCCAACAAATATGGAATGAATTAATATATTTTTTACCAATATTTAATATTATATTAGAAAAAGAAAAAGTCTCCAACAAGCAGCTCATTTTTACTGTTGTTTTTGCCAATTTCGGTGACTTTTTCGGCCATATTATCCATTCCAAAGGTAAAATCATCATCATCTCCTACTCCATTTTTACTCCATTTTTATTTTTACTCCATTTTCTTTCAAAAACCAATCTTCAAAATTATTTTCCCATCATTTTAGAAGCTTGATAAATCTTCCATAATCACTTGATAACTCATTTGTAGATACATTTCGATAGTTTAAAAGCATTAACATACATTTCTCTATTGCAGGAGCTGAATTTTGAACTCGATCTCATTCAACCACGTTTTTGTACGAATTTCATACCTCATCGATCGTTAAAGACTGATTATGTAATCTAGTATATCTATATTTGTAGTCTATAATGGTAGTAGCTGAATTTGTTGTTGCTGGTGGTGATTATATGGGAGTATGGAAGGAGACTCCCAAAAGCAGGAATTGGAAATCTTTGAGTAAGACGACAGTGCCCATTGCGTTGCGTCGCAATGGTTCATATGATGATCTGATTGCAAGCGTAATTGAGGCCGGTGAGTTAACTTCCGAGCCAAATGACTTGGTGTTAGCTATCAAATGAATGAGAGGGGAAAAATATATCCCACACTCATAAAAAATGATATGCACATGAGCTTGTACATGTTAGATATTAGTATTGATGGCTCTATGTCATGACCCGAGTCTACACCCTGGACGTGGCGGGCACTCAAGAACCATTGTTGGTCCCTAAGTGAACTCTCATCCTGGCTGACTACAAGCGAAAGACTAACTTAAGCATGTAAAAGCTTAAAAACTGAAATAAATTCAAATACTCAACTTTAAGATGATTTGAACAATACTGAATAGATACTTTGAATAAAATAATATATTCAACTCGCCATAAAATAGGCAACTTAAGTCTTTAAAATATTTAACAAAATAAATTAACAGACTTCTGAAACTCTACTGTCTATCTACGAAGCCTCTAACTGACAAAGATGGAAGTCGGGACAATACCCACAACATCCTAACAACTGATATAATTGAAAAGTAAATGAAATCCTCCGGAAGCAAGGAGGCTCACCATAACTTAACTTGAACTCCATGTGGTATCAACGAAGCTCCTGTTGATGATCCCAAATACCTATACATGTATCTGCATCATGAAACGATGCAGTCCAAATGGCTCAGTACATAGAATGTACCAGCATGTAAGGGGAATTCTAAAGCATAACATAAGCTTAAACTGGTGGAATAGAAACATACTTACCTCTTCTCAACTCAACTCAAAGAAACATAGTTCAACTCAACTCGGATAAAATAGGGCTCAACTCAATGATAAGATATTCAACTTAGTGAAATAAGGCTCAACTCAATTATAAGATATTCAACTCAGTGAAATAAGGCTCAATCTCAACAATAAGATACTCGACTCTAGGTACTCAACTCTTGATACTCAACTTTGTATACTCAACTTTGGATACTCAACTCAATATAAAGCAACAATACATATGCAATATATGGAAAGCTTTTAAAATAGTATTAAGCAACTTAATGTAGTGAAAAATACAAAATAACTATGTATCTATGCAAGGATACAAGATAAACTCTTCTTGTATATGAAAATACAAGGTAAAACACTGTGTATATAAGAATACAATATATAACTGTGGGAGGTTCTCTAACCGACAACCATCACTATAAGCTATGTGATGATACAGTGTTTTGCCTCATGCTTCCAGGGTCGTCCTATACCTTGTCGGGGGTATAGAACATAACTACTAAGTGGATCCACTAGTCTATGCTAAAAATCACTAAGGAATCATCTAAAAAGTATGACCCTTTTTTTTACCTATGATGGCTACACGGTTTATGGGGGCTGTGAGTTGTCTGAACTCTCCCCCATATCGGTGCTCAATACTACTCCCAAAATATAACTCGCTCATATGTTTAAAACCACAACTCTTTCTATTGTTTGAGATAATTGCTCAAAAACTAGCCCAAAGGCTCTCTAGGAAATCAGTGTTTCCTCTCTTTCTTAAATATGAAAGCATTTACTCTTTACTGAAAAGCTAGCTCAAAGACTCTTTTGGAAATATCAGTTTGCTTTCTTGATTTAAATGTGAAAACCTGTATTCTTTGGGAATACATAGCCCCCATATACTCTTTTGAAGAAATGGACTTCACTCTCCAGTCTTTACTCAACTCAAAACTCAAATCTTAAACAAGTTTAAAGCATTTGTAAAAGACTTCTTAAAATAGGGTTCACGCCAAATTATGTCCTTGAACGACTCAATTCAAGGTTTTAAATAACCATGGATAGAATTCAATACTTAGAACTCAAGAACTTCAATGATACTACTCATTTAAAGAATGCTCAAGTCAGAGTGTTGATGTGCAATTATGAGCATGAACTACTCAACTCAAGGACTCAAAGATACTTCTCATCTCAAGACTACTCGACTTATAGGGTTCATGCGGAATTATGGGTATGAACTACTCAAATCAAGGACCTTCATGCGTAACATGTAGTAGCCCCAATATTAGAAATATAAACTCAAAAGGGTTAGGAACTCAATACTCAAGATTTAGAACTTGAAGATACTACTCCTCTCAAAGATACTCAACTTATGGAGTTCATGAGGAATTTATGGGAATGAACGACTCGACTCAAGGTTCTACATAACAATATGGAACTCATGTATACAACTCTTCCCATTTTCATACTAACTTTCTCAACAACTTAGTTTAAACCGATAGTTGATCTCAAAGGAGTCACAATTGAACTCAAAAGCTTTCTTGAACTCTATTCTTAACTCTCTTTTGAATGTGAATTATGAATTCAAGAGTTATGGTTCATGTTATGAAGGATCTCGTGATAACAAAGTAAACTCATGAATACATTATCCTCATTCTCATATTCACTTGTGTGAGTCTTGAAACAATTTATTAGAAGTTGTAGAAGACTCCTCAAAATGACTCAAAGAGACTTTCTTTAAATGTTCGAAAGAACTCTCAAGACTTAACTCTTAACTCTACCTTGAATTTGAACTATGGATTCAAGGGTTATGATTCATGTTATGAATTAGTTCTAGGTGTTTAGAAGTAGCTTAGAGTGTTTAAAATCAAAAGGGAGTGAAGCTACACTTTAAAAGAACTCAAACGGAGCAACTGACTGCAAATTGGAAGGGGCAGGCAAACCTGGCGCACTGAGTAGCGCGGGGCGCCAGCCCCTAAACTACAAAACATAATTTGGGGCGCACTGGCTAGCACGGTGCTCCAGACCCCAACCCAGAAAAGCCAACGAATTTCTTTGCTCATTTTCTCACCCTAACTCACCTAGAATCGAATGGTTTCTTCCCCAATCACTTGTAATCGACTACTTAACATAAGTACACTCTAATATACTCAATACATCCCTCAAAACAGTCACTTTCATCTCAAAAAATCATCAAAACCCCAATAAAACAAGATTTAGGATGAACTTCAAGAACACTTATTAAGAACTCATCAAGAACTCTAATCTTCCAACTTCAAGAATGAAATTACGCTGAAAATAACATGATTGGCGTGTGGGTGAACAAACCCAACACTATGGAAGCTTACATACTCTTAGGGTTTAAACCCATGGCGAAAATTCCGCAACAAAACTCACGAACTTCACCGAACGCTTTGATCATCTCCACTTTTCTCCTCTTTTCTCTTCTTTTCTCTTCTTGAACTCTCAACTAAAACCCTACGCGTATATTAGGATTATAAAACTGAACCTAATAGGATTAGACCCTTAAAACCTTTCTAAAAATGAATTAAATCTGATTGGGTAAGGAAAAGACCAAAATACCCCTTACTATTTTCGGGTAACTTTCCTTATTTGGACAGCCTGACTTCAAAAGGGCATATGTCACTCATCCGACCTCGAAACTTAGCAAAATTGGTAGAGTTGGAAAGATAATTCAAAGACCTTTCATAGGATACCTTGTAGCCTGCCTAAATCATCATGTACAGAGAGTTATGATCATTTGAAGTTAACCCAAAACTTAAAGGAACGTAGGAATGACTTGAATGAACTATCTTTAGTTCTTCTTGGAACTCAAGGTGCTACATCTAGTGACCTTAACACTCAAGAAATTTTAATTTCCTCGATAAAATCCTACTCACAACGAAGGATGATTCGAGTCTCAGTTTGAAAAAAATTCTGGTGTGTTACCCTTTAGGCCTACATTGAGGATAAACGTCAATGCAAGGCCTCCAATTGAACCAACAAATTCATTTACGATGACAATGATTTGATTGGAAATGAAACTTTGGGTGATCATTTAAAAGAGAGCTTGGGTGATAATTCAAATGAGAGCTTAGGTGATCATTCAATGAATATACATGATGATCCAATTAATATGTAAAATCTACCAGTAGACGCAGAAGATCCCAAACCCGAATGTTGTGAAGAAATGTAGGGATACCAAGAAATGGGATTACAATCCAACCATTCCTTCTCTGATAGAACTAATTTATGCATAAATCAAACTTTCAGTAACAAGAATGAGTTGCAATTTTTATTAGCCGAAGCGGTGACAAAGAAGACATTTGATTTTGCTATTGTGAAGAGTTGTACTAAATACTTAAAGATGAAATGTGTATCTCACAATTGTGCATACATGTTGCGCGCGTGGAAATATGAGCGTCTGGATAGATTTTGTATCTACAAGTACATTGGCAAGCACAGTTATGGCATTGAACATGCCAACAGTAGCCATGGAAAAATTTCAATCAAAGTCATTACTTCACTTTGTATAAATATGTATCTTGATAAGAATCCAAATGTTAAAGAGATTCAAAGGGCTATGTTTAACTCTTTTCGTTGTAGTCCAAGCTATTGGAAATGTTTGAAGGAGGTGTGGTTGCCAAGGAAATGGTCTGAGGGACAGCGGAGAACGGATATTCATGCTTACCAATTTTTTCCTACATGTTTGAGACTCTTAATGTTGGTTCTATCTATAGTATCATGGTAAACAAGGATAGTAATAGGTTCATGTATTATATCTTGGCCTTCGGTGCTTGCATTAGGGGATTTGCCCATATGAGAAAGGTAATTGCGATCGACGGCACTCATTTACATAGTAAATATGAGGGCGAGTTGTTGAGAGATGTTGCGCAATATACGGAGAATCATGTTTATCCAATTTTCTTTTGTATCGTGGACAAAGAGAATGATGCATCTTGGACATTCTTCTTTGAGAAGTTGAAGGAGATTGTGGTCGATAAACCAGATTTGTGTTTTATCTCTAATAGACATAAGAGCATCGCCAACGGTATTGTGAACAGTTACAATTATGCTCACCACGGGTATTGTAGGAGGCACCTCAATGAAAGTCTCCACGTAAATCATCATTGTGGAGATTCCCTCTATCTTTACTACAATGTGGCAAAGGCTTATTCTTTGAAGGAGTTTTACAATCATTTTGTAGAATTCAAGAACAAATTCCCTGCGGCAATCGTCGTTCTTGAGCATGATATTGGTTTTGAGAAGTGGAGCAGGGTACATTTCCCTGGCAATAGATATGATGTGATGACCAAAAATATTACCGAGTCACTCAATGCTATGTTGATAGACGAAAGAGAGTATCCCGTGGCATCTATTAAACAACTTTATTGTCAATAATTGACTACTAAATAATTTTACTCTATAATGGTAAGAAACTGAAGTTAAGCAAAAATCACATACTATTAAAACATAGATTCATAAGAAATCTAAAAACCCTTCATAATAAAACATGTTAAACTGTTTCTCAAAACTACCATTAACCATATATAAAAACATCTATTATCTTTCAAATGTACATTTTTCTGGTCAAAACAATAAACCACTTTAACCATTTTCTTGAAAACCAACTACTTCAACAACCAGTTGTCTTAAAACCCATTCAAAAACCAACTATCTCAAAATCAATTGTCTTAAAAACCAGGGAAAAACCAACTATCTCAAAAACCAATTGTCTTCAAAAACCAATTATTTCAAAAACAGTCTCAAAATACCAATAACCATAAATGCCTTATTCATCACCGTTAACCTCACCATTAAGCTCCATAACAATACTCATCACGTCCACTTCTTTTTCCTCTTCTGTCACATCAATGGCCAAACCTTCTTCTTCCAACTTTTCCTCTTTTTCATTCTCTGTCATCTTCTCCTCTTGTTCTTTCTCTTCTTCTCCACTTGCTATGTGTTCCTCTTCATTTTCTTCTGTTTTCTTCTCTTCCAGCTTCTCCTCTTTACTTTTTTCCAGCTTCTCCTCTTCTTTTTCTGCAATCTTCACCTCCTCTTGTTCTTTCTCTTCTTCCTTCATCTCATCTCTTCTACAACTTCATCAACTTCATCTGCAAAGTATTCATCAACTGCAACAAAATCATCATCAGTTATAGCTAATGGAAGGATCTCATCGACTGTTGGTGTTGCAAAGTCGTCATCATCTACTGCAAGATCAGTGGCTAAACATTCATACAAATAAATTATTTTACATAAATAATATATAAATTTATCTACCTTTCTTTTTCTTGTTCTTTTCAGTTCTTGTCAATTTCTCCTCTCATACATAAGCAACAATTTCCACCATTGATTGCTCGAGGGATGCAACACGCTCACACAAATTGTCATCTTTAGAAGTACTTGGTATATTTTTATGTCCACTCGAAATAGTATTCTCACATGATTGATTAGGATTGTGATCACTTAAATACTCATCCTCCACATTCTCTACTGCTGAAGTGAGGACAGTCACACCATTCAAATTTTCCTTTAATGCATCGAGGACTGTATCCTTCACTTCACCCATATATGGCTTTAATGTTTCCATGTAATTCTATTTTTGTCTCACGGATAGTAGATGTGAGGTATGGGTGCACAATATACAAAAAACAATATATATAAATATTACACAACATTCACTAATTTACAAATATTGCTAGATAATAATAAATAAATGTATACCTTTGTATTTTTTCCTTTGTACTTAAATGGATCACCTTCGATAATATTATTGTTTTTTGCCATGTGCCATCTAAGTAAATGGGGAACGGGCAGAAGAGAATCCAAGGACTTCTTGGCATACTTTTCAAGATGAGGAAAATGCTCATATATCCAAACATGGAATTAATAGAAGAACAAATAAATAAACAGGTGCTATAAAATACTACACAAATATATAAGAATTTATCATAAATCAACTACAAAATTGATAAGAAGTACCAGAAATACCCAGAAAAAGACATACAGAGCATACGATGCATTTCCTCTTTCATTATACACTTCACTCTGCTTCTTCAAATTGATTTTATTCTTCAGATACGTCAAGGTTAAATTAAAACTTTCTTTCCCCCACAGATAACCATTGAAGAAATCTAAATCATCTGCCATCTTAATGTGGCTTGAATCTAAAATTTAGATTGATTATGGGCAAGCAGCATCGTGTTGACGAACAAAACCAAAGAGCACTGCAACTTCTGCTCCTTATTCAACTTTGCACCCTTGATCAAACACATCAACTTTGTAGCAATGATGTTCTTATTCTTGGTCACCTTGTAATAAAATTTCTCACCATTTTCAAGAACTTTTTCATTTTTGCATCACGGGGGTATGCTGAGAAACCCAACCCCGTAATCAATGCAAATTCTCCTAAGCCAAAACAAGCAGGCTTATCATTCACACCGAACCAAATTGCAAGCAATTTTTTGTCATTTTTCACACGTCGCAACAACATATAATGGACCATCTATCCATTTGACTTGAAATGTTCTAGAATATGTCTCAGGTGTCCAAAACAAGTACCTTTAAAGTCTTCATAGATTTTTTCTTGAACTAGAAGATTTCTAAAATCACGATAAACAGTCATCATTGCTCTTACAGAAATTTTTGATGGAAACAATCCTATCTCATCTATCCATGTCACTAAATCATACGACTTACTAGAAATATCTCTTGCACAAATTAGGAAGGACAGTGGGATCTTCACCCTCATCACCAGTTTGGGTATCTCTACTATTCTCCTCATCTTTACTGTCACTTTTTTCATTACTAGATTCAACGTCATCACTAGATTGGGTACTATTGTCCTGATAGTTATCAATCTCGGCCATTGTATCAGAATCCTAGTTTGACTCAGGTTCTTCCACAATAATTTTTTTCTGTTTTGAATCTTTGAAAACTTCTTCAGCCTTTATTTTCTTATTTTTAGAAGCATTGGGAACATATCGTTTAACAATGACGCCTATAGTTTTAGCCATACTGTACTATATACAAGCAAAACCAAATTTGTCATATCAAAATATCGACCACTAGTCTATTAACATAATCATAGCTTACAATAAAAACACATGCAAAATAAGTAGCAGTCCCAACAGAAATCGACAATGTCATTGACATAAACACCATTAAAATCGATCAAAATACACTAAATATGTTAAATCGCTAACATAAAACTTTCAAAAAAGTTTTATGCATTATCCAAACCAAAACGCCATTAACAATGCAGAATAAAAAAACATGAACTAAAAAGGGTCCGATTTTCAAAAGGTTAAGCAAAAATCTAAACTTCACTACACTACTGCAATTAAAAATCAAATAGGACTAAAATTTATTGAGAATACGATTAAACTTACCTAAAAGGAAGAAGATTGAACAAGATTCAACTGAACATGGGGAAGAAGATTGAACAAAAAAGACTTGATTCACTTCGTTGGAATCTTCAGGAACGATTATGGGATCTTACGTTTGTTTATGGTTTCAACAATGGAAGATAGAAAGGTTGGTTCTTGAAGAAAGGTGTTTTATGGAGGTTTGTGTTATTGATAAAGTTGGTATATGGAAGATCAAAAGCCACATTAGAGAAGATGTTCTGAGAACTTCTGAGGTTTCCTCGGAAAAGGGTTTTTTAATATTGAAGTTTATTAAATATTCTTTATATTAGGACTATACTTCATTTCTCGGAGGAATTAAATTTATTTAATATTGGAAGTGTTGGGAAGAAAATAATTTTTTAAACTTGTATTTTATCCCCCAATTTTTTAAAGTGATAAAAAGGTCCCTGACCCCACAATCCAACCCCACTTTTTCACTTTTTCTTAACCTAACCCTATAAAATAAATCAAAAAGAAATTGAGTGTCTATGAGCTAAAATAAGTTTTGTTGGTGGGTACAACACCAAATTATCTCTAAAATATGGGTATAGGTGTTTAATATGCAGATTTTTATGACTCATTCTATGGTAGCAGATGGAATCAAAACCCCAAAAACACTTAGAAGGTCTCATACCTTTGCATAGTTCAAGTTACCTTCACAACCCCAAAACAATGTGATTCCTTTTGCGTACCACCTTGTTCCTCATGAAAATTTTTATAGAGATACTTCTCTATGAATATTTTTAGACCTTCTTTCTATGATTTTCATATTATATATGCATCCCTGTCTATTAAGCATGTATTGCAACACACATTTAAAAGAAAAATTCAATTCTAAAAACACAAAAAGATTAAAAGAAAGAAAGAAAAAGTTAGCTTGGGTTACCTCCCACGTTAAGCTTGATTTAATATCGCAGCTCGATGAAGTTTAACTCATCAACAGGATGAATCAAAGCTTTAGGATCATGTTGTTCTTCACCTTAAGTTTCACCTTTTGAGTATATCCTTACACCTTAGGACACCTTCTCTCAATGACAAAATTTGGAATTCCATGGTCTTCCATGCCTAGCCACATTGTTGAGTAACTTGATGGTCATGGCGAAAGTGTTATCCATAAATTTTCTTCATGTCACAATATTGACTATAGCTTAGTTGAATTATTCTAGGACAAGGAAGAATATTTCAAGTAATTTCACTTTGTGAAGTCCATGTTACTGTAGGTATAAGTAGCAATAGTATAAACCTCCCCCATGTGTTTGATAGGTATTCACCTTGTGTTTATTTTGAAGTAAAGAATATTGTTCTTGATTTACAGTTTTTTTTCCTCATTGAGCACCATTTATTATAACACACATTCACCAATCAAACCCACATAGTGATGGAGTCTGAAAGTATGATCATGTACCATATTCTTGCCTCTCCAGTAAGCGAGTATTTGAAGATTTGTAGCCTTATTGTTTCATCTGAAATACTAGTGAGGAACACACTCTTAGGAAGTTCCTTAATTAGATACTGATGAGGGCCATTTTCTGTGGAGTTGCAAAATAATCCCTTAACTTTGAGGATTCTATAGAGGGCACGATTGATACTTACCACCTCTTTTGTCACTTAGTGTTGTAAGACTTCATCATTGTATACAATTATCAATTATATCAGTCTAGATTACACATATAGCTTTTACAACTGTCACAATCAAAAGTACACCTTAAATATGACATGGAGAGTAGGATTTCGAGAGACCCTAAACAAGACACTTGGCATAAGCATGACGAAAAACAAATACAACAAGAGAGATAATATGCAACATAAGTCTCATATCATAAAAAGAATCTGAACATAAGTGAAGAATATTAAACCATGTCTGTCATAGCCTTTCAAACATCATAAGAGTGGTTGGAATGTAACTCATACACCACATACAACTCTGAAATGAAAAGACAATAAAAGAAATAAGGCATCAATGGTTTTTTCCGCGAAGCATGAGGATGC